CTGGTGTAGAAGTGACAGTTAAGCAGGAGTTGGGAACTTAGGATTTCCCCCTATCTGGTCTGTTTCAAAGGTTCCCCTCTGTTGACCACGGTTTGGGAATTTCCTCTGGTTGCCTGTTTTGTGTTTATATGCTATTGCCCTTTTAAGACATGGCCAGTACTGCACTGATTCTATGGGTAGTGTTGGGAAAGATTGTGGCTGGTCAATTTAAAGGTTCTGTTGGCCATGGTTTGGGGGCTCCTCTCAGGTTGTCTCTCTCTGTACTTCTTTTTTGTACAATCTTGCAATTGGAGTTGGCCTGTCAGAGGTAAAGTGAGTTGAACAAAGGACCACCTATAAGTCTGTCTACCATAATGTTTGACTGTAATGATCTGGCTTTTAAATAGATTTCTAGATTATTATATAATCTTGCATTTGGAGTTGGTCTGTCAAAGGTAAAATAAGTGGTGGAAGAAATTTGTATGTGCAGGTCTGTCTGTTTTAAAGGTTCCTGTCTGTCAGCCCTAGTTTTGGTGGTCCTCTCTCTTTCTCTTTTTTTTTTKGGGGGGGGGGTGTCTGTTACTGTCCCTTTAAGACATGGGCCATGCTGCATTGATCTTACCAGTAGTATCTTGAGCAGAGAGATCTTAGCTGCATGGGTCACCTATGGGTAAAAGCTTGTCTAAGACAACAAGGATTTACTGTAATACAAACTGGCCTTTAAATGTTTTTTTCTGGAGTATTATACAATCTTGATGTTGAAGTTGGTCTGTCAGGGGTAAAGTATATGAAAGAGATTCTGTATGCACAGGCATTGATGGAGTTGCCTSCTAAGGGGTCTGAACCAGCAGGAACTAAGATGAAGGTGCAAAAAGTCACTGCCTCTGGTGTGAAGGATAGCAGGACACCAGAAGAAAGGGTTAAAATGATTTAACTCTTTTAAACCCAGTACTGGCTCCCAGCACTGTTGCTCAGCCTGCAGTTGCATCTCATCTCACTATGGTTAAGGACACTACCCCTAAACTGGGGGATAGGGCAGGGGGATACAGAAAAGCTGCTGGGCTGTAGGACATGGCCAAAGAAAACCTGGCCTCTGTGGATAGAGACTGCTGGCCACAAAGGATGTGGCAGTAGATTCCAGCACTGTCAGTTTATGACCGGGGGATCGGAATAATCTCCCTTTTTAAGACCTGACAGGAGAACCAACTGGACAGGGGATATTCATCACTGGGGCAAAGCAATTCTTGGTATATTAGTAGCCCATCAAACTAAATGCCCAGGGAGACTGGCAGAACACATAACTGCATCCAGAAAAGAAAAAATACAGAAACTAAGGCCAACCTGTGTTTTGTAGGCAGCCTCCACAAGGGGGTCAAGGAAAACTAAAGAAAAGGATGAAATGGGCCTCCTCCATTGCGTATCAATATGCCTAGTATAAGAAAAAGGACCCAAAGGAGCCTCTGGGTACAGCTGACAATGAGGAACTCACTTGTTACGTTGATGGCATTAAGATAATGGTAATGGAGACAGGTCAGGCTCAAAAATATCCTGTGCTCCAATCCCCTGAATGTAACCTAGGAGGAAAAGATTACGGTACAGTTTTTCTGTATATGCTGGATTGTCTAATCCTCTCTTGGGATGAAATTTGTTGTGTAAATTAAATGCACAGATAACATTCATAAGGTTTTAGAATATGAATTTAAGAAATGGTCCAAAAGTAGAAAAGATAAAAGAAAGTTATAAGTATGGAAATATATTGTAGTACAGAAAATTCAAAGGTAAAAGAAATGTTTMTGGATGAGGAAGTATTTTGTCTGGCAAAGTAATATTCTTTTGCTAAAGTTCAAGATGAAAGAGGACAAAACTAAGATGTAAAGAAGTTTTTAACGTTTAAGTCGCAGAAGGTTTGTGGACGGTAAATCTCAAAAAGTTTGTGTTTTGTCATTAAATTGKCTATAATTAGCACATTCAGTTAGAGTTATTTGAACTTTAATGTACTTATATGAAGCAAAGTCTGAAACATTGATCTGCTCTTACCTATTGATATAGTTTTCTTGTATTGTTTTGTTACTTAGGGAAATTAAGTCTTAAAGGAATTAGGGTTTGTACCTGTTTTAAAATCTTAAATGATTACTTTGTAACTGGTTAAACAAACAACTGTTATTTAGGTTATACCCAAATATATGTGACTAGATATATGTATGCATCTGAGAACTAACTAAGCCTTGTCTAAGTGTTATGTAAAAGTTTATAAAATGAAAGTTTATGTAAGTTTAAAGGCAAGATAACTAATAAGTGCTCTCTTTTATACATTTTATCTGACATAGAAGGTCCACACTGTCACTTGAAGACCTATCTTATATCTGTTTGCTTTGGCTAAGTCAACTTCTGATGATTAACACTGTTTTCTAAAAGTTATAAAGGATTTAAGGCTAGACTTTGATTACTGTTAAACCATTCAGATCTGTGATTATTGTTACTGTACATTCTGGATTCTAAACTGTACTTTAAAAGTTAAATTTAGTTAAATGCAAAGCTTTGGAGAGCACTTTGCCAAGTTGGTATTCTCAAAACTAAAATTAGGTGCAACACAATTCTTGGGTTTGTATGGAAATAACAAATTTGGTTGGTATTTATTTGTGTATTTGATGTTATATAACTGGATAAAGTCACCTGTTCTCAATAAGTTAAATATACAATTTTGTGTTACTCTTCACACTGGAATTACAATGTAAATGAATTTTTGGAAGGTATTAATGAGAGCTTGATTTGTTTAAAGGTGACATTGTAAAACATGGAATCATTCTGCCACTTTTTCCACAAAAAGAAAGTTAAAAGCTCTCTTAACCTTTCAAAAGAAAATTAATATAGATCACATTTTCCTACTTTTGTGAATATCTAGTCATTTTTGAGTAGATGCTGGACATTGTGGATATCATGTTATTCAGTGCCATCATTTTGTTGTCTTCTATTCAAAAGTAATTTCTTTGAAATTAATAAGAGCCCCAAATTTAATAAATGTCCAAATAAGAGCCCCAAATTTAATAAATGTCCAAACACACAGCAAAGAATAAAGGTCACAAACTGCTAAGATGATCCTGCGAACTTTTCTGGGGAAATCTAATGGAGAATAAGCTTTAGACAACCACAACATAAGGACTGGGGTAAAACTCAATACGCATTTACTCACAGAATAATAATGATGATTACAAAGGGGAGGTACAGTAATGCAAGAGTTGTTTGCTTTTAGAGCTCAATTATCAAAAATCTGTGAGAATAAAGATATAAACCTTCTTAAAAAGAGAGAGATCAAATAAGACTACATAGAAAAAGACTTATTATATATAAGACTTCCATATGGTAAAACAGAAAAACATGATAGAACTGAGACTAAAGATGATGATTACATCAATAAATATTTTAAAAAAATTTCACACTGGTTATTGAGTAAAGATCAGAACTGTTTGTAAAACAAAGAGATCAAAAATTTTTAWGAATAAAAAAAATTAACAGGTACATTACGTAAATAAATTTTAAAGAAGGCAGGAGTTATAATTCTGAAATTTGACAAGTTAGACTTGGGGAAAGAAATTATAGACAAGGAGTCATTTAAGGACAAAAAATATTTTATACCATGCTAAGGAGTCTGGACTTTATCTTTGAAGGATACATGACTGACCAGAATCAGATATACACTTTAAAGATGAACTGGACTAAGGTGACATGAGAGGGAGGGAATCCAGTTAGAAGGGGTCAAGAGACAAATTGCTGTAGTGCCTACTCTAGCTCGAATGGTTTACACACAGGTTAACATTTTAATTTTGGTAACAACTATATGAGGTGTYGTGTTACTCTCAATTTATATATGGAGATTGAGGATCAGAAACATTAACTTGCCCAACTGAAGCAGTGAGTAAGATCCTGGAGTCAAGATTCTGAACTTAGTTTTACCTGGCTTGTACTTTGCCACTATATGATACTACGGGGTTTTTTTGTTTGTTTGTTTTTAAAGTGGGGGCAAGGAGAAAGAAAACAAAAAGAAAAATACTCTAAGCAAGAAAAGGTAAGGGTCTAAGGAAATGCAGAGGACCAGAGGTCTATATATTTTAAAAACATAATTAGAGGGGCTGGCGTTGTAGCTCAGTGGTAGAGCACTTTGCCTGGCATGTGTGAGGCACTGGGTTCGATTCTCAGCACCACATACAAACAAAGTAAAAATCCATTGACAACTAAAAATACATTTTTAAAAACCCCAAAACATAATTAGAAACTTTGGTGACACACTGGATATTGTATAAAACTAAACAACACGGAAAAAAAAAAAAGAAGAAGCAGCAGAGTTCCAGAAGCATTATGAAAGCTATTATAAGGAGTTATATATATATTGAAAAGGAAAATGAAGAATGTCCTATGTGCCTTCTAAAGTTTATAGCTTTTTACTTTTTATCCTTTCCCTTGACCTGCACTAAATAAATCTAAAATTCAAGCATATGTGCTTTCTTGTTATATGTTTATAAACAAACAACACACGAGTAAAATATTCAGGTCCACCTGAAAACCATTAGATCAACAACTAAATGACAGTTCAGAATGGAGAACCACAAAGAAGGTAACATGTGCATCTTCCTTTTTTCCTTTGTCCTCATTGGGGAAGGTGTAGATTTTAAATCTAGTTATGCTCTAATAAAATACTTCGGAGTACAACATATTAAGAGCTAAAAATTCTCACATAGGCTTTAAAAAATTGATGTATAGAAATAAAATATAGTTAACAACATGTAAGTATAGTCTAGTCATCACTTTTTGAAAAGCCACAATATATTCTTCCAATTTTTCTACTTTTAAAAATCAAACCTCTGAAGTTCTCTGAAAGTTTTTCTCCTTATTTGTGTTTCATTCTTGTCCCCAACTTGGTCTTCATCAATTTATATGAGACACTGGATTCTGAATTATTTCTAAATGTCTAATTAGTTAAGCAAGGATATTTCTGCCTTGTTTCTTTTGTTCCATTACATACTTACATGGAATGGTTCTCAAGTAGAGATTATCTCTGATCACTTGCTGCAGTTTGTGGTCAATTGATCCTTTCTGAAACTGAAGACTCAGGTAATGTCGCAAATCTTTATTAATCACTTTCCCTACAAGAAAAAAAGAAAGAGAAAACAAAACATTACAACTGTTAGATGTCCACTTAAATATGGAAGCTAAGGACTTAATAACTTTAAAATATTTAATTATAAACAAGAAATCAGAATATTTTACTATAAAGAAGTAATACCAAGGACCTCCCCGCCGATCCTCACAAGAGCCAAGGCCCAGGCCTTGGCTCAGGACCGCCCCACCAATACCCCCCCCGACCCCCAGCCAAGGCCAGGCCCCAGCCCAGGACCACCCGACACCAATCAGCAGACCCACGCAGGAACCCAGGCCTACCCTACCTCCATCTTGGAACACTGCAGCCATAGCCATAGCCTTCCCCATGCAGTAGCCTCTACCTTGGGACAACAGATAGGGTCTGGAGGCAGCTGCATCTCTGAACAGGAAGCCCACCCTTTCAGCCCCATCTCTGAAAGTGGTTGCATCCATCTTGGGACAMCCTCACTGCTATCTTGAGTTATCTCTGCTATTGCCAYCACCACCTTTGATTTAGTTGCAGTAGCATTTATCGTGAGACACTGGAGGGAGTTTGGAAGCCCAACACCAAGGTGAGGTACAGGTAATCTGCATGGACACTGTAAGATAGTGTAGAAACTGTAATACCTCAGATATGCAAGAAAGGAAGACAACATGAAAAAACAAGGGAGGAAAGTGCCCCAAACAAACCAAGATACTACAATAATAGAATCCATRGACAGCGCAGTTGATGAAATATCAGAGAAGGAGTTCAGAATGTACATAAATAAAATGATCTACGAATTAAAGAATGACCTAARTGAGCAAATACAGGGAAAAATTGATCACTCCAACGAAGAGTTGACAGCAAATACAGGCAACCACTGATCACAACAACAAAGAGATAAAGGAGCCACTACTGGCAACAAAAGACTACTTCAAGAAAGAAAGAGATTCTGAAAAAAATCAGAAATCCTTGAAATGAAGGAAACAATAAACAACATAAAAAACTCAACAGAAAGCATCACCAACAGACTAGATCACTTGGAAGACAGAATGTCAGATAATGAAGACAAAATATATAATCTTGAAAATAAAGTTGACCACACAATGAAGATGGTAAGAAACTATGAACTGAGAATTATGGGATAACATCAAAAGACCAAATCTAAGAGTTATTGGGATACAGGAAGGAAAAGAGATTCAAACCAAAGGAATGCACAATCTCTTCAATGAAATATATTTCCCAAACGTGAAGGATGAATTGGAAAACCAAATATAAGAGGCTTACAGGGCAATAAATGTACAAAAAATCCAACAGATCTACACCAAGGTACATTATAATGAAAATGTCTAGTATACACACTAAAGATAGAATTTTAAAAGCCACAAGAGAAAGGAATCAGATTACATATAGGGGAAAACAATTAGGATCTCTGCAGATTTTTTTTAACCCAGACCCTGAAAACTAGAAGATCCTGGAACAAAATATATCAAGCTCTGAAAGAAAATGAATGCCAACCAAGAATCTTATTTCCAGCAAAATTAAGCTTTGGATCTGATGACAAAATAAAAACCTTCCATGATAAACAAAAGAATTTACAACTAGAAAGCCTGTACTATAGAACATCTTTGGCAAAATATTCCATGAGAAGGAAATGAAAAACAACAATGAACATCAGCAAAGGGAATATTACACTAAAGGAAAAACCAAACAAAAGAGAAACCAAGTCAAGTTAAATATCAAAAATGATTGGGAATACATATCTTGTCTCAATAATAACCCTGAATGTTAATGGCCTAAACTCACCAAATCAAAAGATTAGATTTAACAAAATGACTCAACAATATGCTGCCTTCAAGAGACTCATTTCATAGGAAAAAGACATCCACAGACCGAAGGTAAAAAGTTGGGAAAAAACAGACCACTCACATGGACTGCAGAAAAAAGCAGGGGTTTCCATCCTCATATCAAATAAAGTAGACTTCAAGCCAAAGTTACTCAAAAGGGATAAAGAAGGTTTTCATACTGCTTAAGGAAACCATACATCAACAAGACATAACAATTATAAATATATATGCCCCAAACAATGGAGCATCTACATTCATCAAACAAATTCTTCTCAAGTTCAAGAGACAAATAGACCACAACACAATAATTCTGGGTAACTTTAACATGCATTTTTCACCATTGGACAGATCTTCCAAATAAAAGCTAAGCAAAGAAACTACAGAACTCAATAATACAATCAATAACATACACTTAACTGACATAAATAGACTATTTCATCCATCAATAAATGAATACACTTTCTTCTCAGCAGCACATGGATCCTTCTGTAAAACAGACCATATATTATGCCACACAGCAACTCTTACCAAATACAAAAAAGTAGAGATAGTACCCTGCATTCTATCAGATTATAATGGAATGAAATTAGAAATTAATGATGAAATTTAAAAATAGAAGCTACTCTAACACCTGGAGACTAAATAATATGCTGTTGAATAAACAATGGGTTGCAAAAGACATCAAAGAGGAGATTTTTTAAAAATCTTAAGAGGTAAATGAGAACACTGATACAATGTATCAAAATCTCTGGGACACTATGAAGGCAGTACTAAGAGGAAAATTCATTGCATGGAATTCATTCCTTAAAAGAAGAAAAAGTCATCAAATAAATGACTGAAAATTATATCTCAAAGCCCTAGAAAAAGAAGAACTAATCAATACCAAAAACAGTAGAAGAAATGAAATAATTAAAATCAGAGCTGAAATCAATAAAATTGAAACAACTGAAAAAACTGACAAAAAATTGGTTCTTCAAAAAAATAAATAAAATTGACAAACCCTTAGCTATGATAACAAAGAGAAGGAGAGAGAAAACTCACTAATATAGGTGATGAAAACGGAAATATCTCAACAGACACTACAGAAATACAGAAGATAATTAGAAATTATTTTGAAAATTTGTACACCAGTAAAATAAAAAATATCAAAGACATCAGCAAATTTCTAGAGTCATATGATTTGCCCACACTGAATCAGGATAATATACACAATGTAAACATATCCATTTTAAGCAATGAATTAGAAGATGCCATTAGATGCCTACCAACCAAGAAAAGTCCAGGACCAGATGGATACACAGCTGAGTTCTACAAGACCTTCAAAGAAGAACTAATATAAATACTCCTCAATTTATTTCATGAAATTGAAAAAGAGGGATCCCTTCCAAACTCATTCTATAAGGTCAATATCACCCTGATTCCAAAACCAGACAAAGATACATCAAAGAAAGAAAACTTCAGAACAATATCTCTTATGAACGTAGATGYAAAAATTCTCAAAAAAAAATTCTGGCAAATTAAATACAAAAATATATTAAAAAGATAGTATACCACAATTAAGTGGGGTTCATTCCAAGGATGTAAGGTTGGTTCAACAT